GTTTCCCAAGATTTGAGGTACCTTTTTGAGGGTCCCAGTGCTATTTTATCATTTGGGAGTCTATATTGCCCTCCCCCTCCCCCCCCACACTTTTGGGAAACTACCAAAATTCGTGTGTGTTGCAGTGCTGTTCTCAGCCCCTGAACATGCAATCCTTAATCCTAATCCCAAGCCTTCTAGGGTTTGGGTAGGAGGTTTTGGGTTACATCACCCTCAAAAAATGAAAGATGACTCTCGCATGACTCCTATTGGGACTATGATCTTGCACTCCCGGAGGGCGTGTCGCTGTGGGGCCTGTTTTTTTTTGCGTGTAGGATGTGTTAGGGGGGATAAGGATGAGTGCGATGCTAATTGATCTTTATGGGGGTTGGGCTTTGCATTGGCCCGGTTGATCCGTCCATGCTCCGGTTTATTTTTGTGTGGCTTATGGCCGACAAATCTGCTGTTTGGGAAAACACACGTTTCCTAGTCGAAAGTTCATAGCTGTAGTCCGAGGTCTCCTGGACAACATTATTTTTGAGCTTGAACTTCAAATTCTTAAAGCTCGTAATGAGAAACTTATACAGGAGTCTGGGCATCCTCGAATCGTGCTGTAAGTGATCGGTATGAAGGATACATACTTAATTAGAGAGCTTAGATCACCAGGACTATATCTTAACAATAGAAATGCCTCAATGCACAGTCTTTGTTTAGTGAAGAATGAATGGCAAGAAGCAACAAGATAGTCATCAAAAACAAGATAAGGACTTTAAAGACATAGGAGAGCTATATGAATTGCTCGAGGTCACAAGGGCTGATTAGATTTCAGAGTGCCTGGGCAGAGACGGTTAAACCTATACTTCTGCCTGAAACTGGTGTCAATCCCTAGCTTCCTTCAAAAGCCAGGCTTGCTTGAATATGGGGATGTCCAGGATGCAAATAGAGATATATATATATATACAACATAGATATATACATATATATAAAGTACATCCTATCCCAAGGCAGCAAATTCGTTGTTTTTTACAGCATGCTCTAGTGTTTTTTCGGTAGGTACCTTGCCTCCTATTGATTATTAGAGCGGCAGATAGCAGGAAATAGATACAGCCTACTTCCACTGCAACTTCATTATTTTCACATACAAGCACAAATATTGCACGCCTCCTCCAATGGACGAGAAGCTTATGAACCCCCAGGAAAGCTTCTAAAACACAAGACTTCTGACCTTAAACATTATGAGAAAGGCAAGTAGCGTAAATAAAAGAAATACCTATTCCATTGCTAGTTCAAATTCATGATTGCGTTCTTCATCTTGAGGCTGAGGAGGTGGAGGAGTAGGAAGGGGGACCAACCCTTTTGAACTTAAACCCTTCATGAAATCGCCAAATAGCGGAAATGAAAGAAAGACCTATTCCATTCCAGATTGCGATATCTTGAATTTGAGGGAAGGGTGGGGTGGGTGGGAGATTCTTGCAACATAAGCTAACTTCAAAAACTCCCCCCCCTTCCCTGCCCCCAGCCCACCAAAGTTCATAAACCCCAGCAAATTTTGTTTGCAAACCCCCGTCGTTTAAAACAATGCTGTTATCTTATGATATCTCATGTTATCTCAGATGTATACATAGCAGACTTTAAGGTGTCGCCACGTTGCTAAGATTATAAGAAGCTGCTTAAATATATCGATCAGGTACTTATTCTTATACGAAGCTTTAATAGAATGTTTCTTGCATTTTCTGTATTTTCAAAAACCCAGGCCCCCCTGCGACACCTCCTGTTTACTCACCCCCCCACCCTCCCCCAGTGTTCCTCCCGAATTGGCCTTAACCAACCCTAACTATCCTAGATAACTTGGAATAGCAGGGGGAAACCTTGAAATGGTAGGGCAACCCTGGAAACCCTAAACCCACGGTTTGACTTACCCTAAACCCTAACCCTGAAGGAATTCAAAACCAAGATGGCCTGGGCAATCTTCATTTGCAACCCGGCAGCTTGGATTTCCACCCTCTGCTGCTACCCCTGCTTCATTAACCAGACTCTGCGCTGCACAGACCTGTGGGCTTCGTGGGATAGGTACTATAGTCGAATTTCCTATCATAAGCGATTACATAGGGGTTTACTTTAGGGGTTATTAAGGGGGATACCAAGAGTTTAGACCATAGCTCATATAGGAGTTTTATCTGGGAATGGTCATGCTTTTCTGTATTATTCAGGGTTTGGGGTAGGGGAACATTGGTTTGGCTGCTTGGCATTTTTTTTGGGCGGAGTAGTCTTATGGTTGCTTGTTCCACAAAGTCCCTACAGCAAGGGGCGCTTGGACAATTGCGAAGCATTGCAAAAACATGCTGGCAACTATCCCTGGAAAACCGCTACGGCATCTTTCAACAACAAGACCATCATCCTCATTAGAAAGGTCGACACCTAAACCCTAGATTTACCCCCACCCCCCCCCCCCCTATTTGC